ACGGATATCAGAGAAAATCACGAACATTTACTTAGATTTTGTTTCTCGTCTTATCTATAAGTCACCTTATACGTGGAAATATACGGTATATTATTATAAATATTATAAAATATAGCAGGGGAAGAGATCCTTACTAGAGCTGAATCGACCATTTTTCCAGCATCTATAGTGACCGATCAGATATATGAGTTCCACTTGGGGATCTAAGGTGAGTTTGAGTCCCAACAGACTCTCAGAGGAAGAAACCTCTTTTAGAATGCAAACATTCATTGTAACTAGTGAGGATTTGAGGTCAGTCCCGCGATGATGAAAACGTATTAGCTTTATTTTTGAAGTGTTGAAATTTACAAGGCAGTACCCTCACCATCAACCATAGGGTTGAGAGATCGTTGAGAGGAGAGATCAGTTGCCACGCCCCGGTTATCTAGACTATGGGAGAACAAACCATAACCTGTGGTATCATCTGAATAGATATTTACTATGAAAGGACACATTGATAACACCAGGAATACAAAGAAAAGTGTTCTGTTCTCCGAATACAGTTTGCAATAAATGACATTTGACTTGAATATTTGGGCTGGTGCTAGCCAATTCTTAATTTCCAGCCTTGGCAGAGCTAAAAAGCATTTACGCGGTCTTGTAGGTGAAGAATTGTTTTCCACCATACAACCACTTTCCCACAGACGAAAAATTGCTAGCCTCTCGCTACTCTATCGTTATTTCCATGACAAACGTTCTGACGAGGGACATTCCTTAGTTCCATAAGCCCAGAGCTTCACATCTCGAACACACCATGCCACTTACACGGTCGACCCATCCTCATTCTTATCGAATTCTGTAGGAGGAAGTTCCAGTCAGACAGCTTCTCTAGAACGGTTACGTTGTGGAAAAATCCATACAATCTTAGCCTTCAAGTCAAGGGTCAACCATTATCTATCCTATATATCCTCATAGTATGCACTTTTTACTCCCATGTTGTACACCCTTAGACAACCTCATTCACTAACCCTCTTCTTTGAGGGCCTCTAGAGACTTATAGATATACGTTCCTCTATTGGAATGAAACCCGTGATGACATACGCAAGATGATGCTTCACCGACCACTAACATCTTGACCTCTTCAAGTCTAGAGTTAACCGTTATCTATCCTACATATCCTCATAATCAGAAATTATTTCCTCCTCTTGTGTCCAAACAACAATCTTCTTCAGTAACTCTCTACCTTGAGCGGCTCTTGGGCCTTGTATTGAGTGAACATTTAGTAACATGCCAGTGCACAGATAATAAAACAATGAACTTGTGGAGAGCCATGATTGGCTACGTTCGTGACAATTACAATCTTGACCTCTTTAAGTCTAGGGTCAACCGTTATCTATCCTACATATCCTCATAATCAGAAATTATTTCCTCTTCTTGTGTCCAAACAACAATCTCGTTCAGTAACCGTCTACCTTGAGTGGCTCTTGGGCTTTGTATTGGGTGAACATTTAGTAACATGGCAATTCACAGGTAATAAAGTAAAGAACTTGTGGAGAACCATGATCGCCTAAGTTCATGACAATTACAATCTTGACCTCCTTATGTCTAGGGTCAAACGTTATCTATCCTACATATCCTCATAATCAGAAATTATTTCATCTTCTTGTGTCCAAACAACAATCTCGTTCAGTAACTATCCTACATATTCTCATAAATTAAATTTACTTTCTACCCTTGGGTGCATACAACAACCTCAATCAGTAACCCTTTATCTTGAGTGGCTCTTGTGCCATGTAGATATAAGATCTGGCATTGGAATGAAAGCAGTGATGACAGCTACCCTGAATTCATCATAAAAATTCAGGATGTGCAATTAGTTCAAATGGATTGGTGTATGGATCAGTTATAACAAATTTAGTACAGGAGATAAGGAAACTGAACCTAGAATAGGCTGCACTAGGTGTAGTTTCAACCAACACTGCAAAATCCTACAAGACAAAAAAAAAAAAATAAACTAAAAATAGTCTCGTCAGATGGAGACTTTTCAAATGGATGGCATGCACGTGGCCAAACTTGTTCCGAAGTATCTAAACTGACATTGGTATACAACTGCTTTACCCAAAATAAGGCTCAAGATCCCCTCAAGTTTGGTGAACAATATCATAAACAATAAAATAAAATGTTTATGATGAATGAGCTGCGTGATATTTTTTCTTTATTTAATACTAATGTTCACCAATACAAAGGCCAAGAGCCACTCAAGGTAGAGAGTTACTCTGTGGTGTTGTATAAGCATAAAAAAGCCAGCGGTGGAGTAATGGATAGCGGCTCGGATTGAGGAATCGGAGAACCGAGTTCGAATTCCAGTCAAATCCATTACATTCACTTACGTGCTAATACCTTCGGGAAAGGTATGAATCCTCTTCTTCTCTTCCCCCCCCCCCAGCTATGGGTAAATAGCAGAACAGACCGAGTTCTATAGCATTAGATATTTATCGCAGAAAGAAATGGCAACGTACTGCGGGAAAAAATCTACCTTGTCAGTCATATATCGAAAGATACATGATCGTCTAAGCGTGTATCACGCATGGCACATAATTGACTGACTGAAGTTCATGGGGTTATGAAGGAAAGATAAAGGAGTCTTCTGTAAAGCAGGAGTATTTAAATAGCTGCTACGCGAATGGAACTTCCTCCTTACTAGTGGAATACGAAGGAAATGGGGATGATTCACTCTTGTGGACGTGTCATGACGGGTCCCAATTGTAAAGGTCAAGGTTTGGTTAGCTCGTCAGAACACATGCCATAGAAATAGCGACAGAGCAGCGAGAGGCTCGCGATGTTTCGCCTGCGGGAAAGGGGTTGTATGGTGGAAAATAATTCATCACTAACAAGGCGGCGTAAACGCATTTGAACCCTATCAAGACAGGTAAGTGAGGATTGAGCAGCTCCAGCCCAGATATGGTAGCAATACTCTATTTTTGGTCTGTTTATAAAGATAGTGTATAGCAGGGATACTTACTTGAGCGGTACAATGAACTGTTTATTTTTCTAGCTTATTTAGCAATCAATTGGATATATGAGTCATGGTAGAAAGTGAAGATTATGAGGATAAGGAGGATAGATAACGATTGACCCTTGACTTGAAGAGGTTAATATTGTAGTGTTCATGGAAGCACCCACGAGGGTGTGCCTTCTATAAAGTACTAACATTTTCTTCATGCATTAGGAACACGGGGGAAATAAGGATGATTCAACTTCGTGGAAGTAGCATGGCGTGTCCAGTCTGTAAATGTATGAACAGGTGGAACTAAACAATGAATCTCATCTGAACATTTTCCATGGATATAGCGATAGAGTAACGACAGATTGGCCACGTTATGTGTGTGTAGAAAGTGTGTAGCAGAGTGGAAAATAATTAATCACTCACAAATGCCGCGTAATCACTTTTGAACTCTGTCAAGCCCGGAAACTTATGTCTGAGCAGCTCCAGTCCAAATATGGCAGCAATATGCATCAGCTCATCATGTACGTTAACTTTGTATCTAACAGGTATTTCTGAGTAGTTTCATCGTTGTAAAAAAAAAGGTGTGTTTATATGCCACCCAATAATATATTAACTGAATATTCATCAATTCCAGATATCAAACCGAAATCGCATATTACTACCATCGCACAGTCGCATCCTTGTATCAAGTCAGGCAATTGATATTTATTTAATCATTTCACTCCAAGTAAGGCGAATAAGACGCAAGGGGGCTACTGAGTGTTAGAGAATATGAGAAATATACTATTGAGGAGAGAAGAGAATAAAAAAAAAAACAAGAATTAAGAAGACATAAGATATCGATTGACACTGCATTTAAATTTATGAAGATCAAAGTTGACAGGGAAGCAAAAAGCCGGAAGTGAGTTCTACAAGCGAGAAGTACGATAGATGAAACCGTTAGTATAGAAGTTACAGTTACATTTAACCAATTCGACTGTAAAATTGCCGCCAATCTAGCGTTGTGCTTAAATTCATAAAGTCAAGGCACCAGAAAGGGAAGATCATCAGAACAATAGTATTTATAGAAAAGACACAGGGAAGCTACGTTACGGCGGTGGTAAAATGACTGAAGCCGGGATGCCAGGTCAGGTCCAATATCGTTGCAGATTTTTCTTTGGATTTTGCAAAGAATCTCTAAATATATAGCAGGAGCACCAAACCAGATATGTCAGCAAAATTCAAAGCATAGGCGATTGGTAGACTTATAAATATGCAAGAAAGATTCTGGCTAGAAAAACTGTCTAGCTCGACACGACGAGCCAACTTTCGTAGCTGCAGACTTAGCAATTGATTCAATATACTCTTCCCACTTCATATCAACGGAAAACGTTAGTCCTAGAAGGCGCAACGTGTCAATCTCTTGAAGGTTAGCATCAGCCATGCTGATGGAAGGTAGAAAAGGTTATCTCTGATGATTAAAAGCGATAAGTTTGGTTTGGGAGGCGTTAAAGTTAATACGCCACTTCTTGCACCATTTAACAACAGATTGTAGGTCATATTTTAGACCAGTTGCCAATTTGACCATATCGAACCGATCAGACTCACTGTTAAGATAAAAAGGAGATAACAGTAATACTCCACTTTTAGTCTGATCTAATTCTTGTAAATGTAAAGTATGGCAAAAACGTCAAGAAGTCCTTGGATCGATGGAATTGGCCAACCATTTTCCCAGCATCTTTACAAATGATTGATTGATTCGATTCATTCATTTTTATAGCTTATCAACACTTTGCTGGTTATTTAAAACGAGAAAATATTTTTAGACAGTAAGATTTTCTTTTGAAAATAATAATGATTTACTGATAAATGTTCTTCTAATTAACCCATAGTTTGGGGAGAAGAAGTAAATCCATAGCTTACCCAAGGGTATTTGCGAATACGAGAATATAACAAGCCCAACGGGAATCGGAACTCGGCTCCCCGATTAACAATTCTGTGTCATTATCCATTACACCACACGCACATCCAAGTTTTCAGCACCTGGTATCCCAAACGATCACCCATCTAGGTACTGACCAGATTCGATGTTGCTTAACTTCGATGATCGTAAGGGAGCCGGTGTTACAACGTGATATGGCCGTAAGCGCATTACACCACCAGCATATACACGCTTACAGTACCTGGTAATCCTAAGCGATCACCGTCAAAGTATTGACCAGATTCGACGTTGCTTAACTTCAGTGATCGTTCGGGTACCAGTGTTTCAGCGTGATGTGGCCGTAAGCATATTACATCACCCGTACTAGATCCGATGTTGCTCAACTTTGGTGATCATACGGGAAGCAATGTTTCAGTGTGAAGTAAGCGGATTATACCACCCGTACATCCGCGCTTACAGCAACGAGTATTCCTAAGCGATCACCCATCTAGATACTGACCAGATTCGATGTTGCTTAACTTCGGTGATCATACGGGAATCAATGTTTCAGCGTGATGCGGCCGTAAGCGAAATACACCATCCGTACTTCCAAGTTAACAGCGCCTGCTATTCCCAAGCGATCACCCATCTAGGTACTGAGCATATTGGATGTTGCTTAACTTCGGTGATCATATGGGAACCAATGTTTCAGCCTGATGTAGCTGTTAGCGTATTACAGCACTTGTACTCCCAAGTTTATTGCATCTAGTATTCCCAAGCGATCACCCATCTACGTATTGACTAGATTCAATGTTGCTTAACTTCGGTGATCATATGGGAACCAATGTTTCAGCGTGATGCGGCCGTAAGCGTATTACACCACCCGTACTTCCAAGTTTACAGCCCCTGCTATTCCCAAAAGATCACCCATCTAGGTACTGAGCATATTGGATGTTGCTTAACTCCGGTGTCGTACGGGAAGCAATGTTTCAGCGTGATGTGGCCGTAAGCGTATTACAGCACCCGTACTTCCAAGTTTACGGCACCCGATATTCCCAAGCGATCACCCATCTAGGTACTGACTAGATTCGATGTGGCTTAACTTCGGTGATCATACTAGAACCAAATTTTCCGCGTGATGTGGCTGTAAGCGTATTGCACCACCCGTACTTCCAAGTTTACAGCCACTGGTATTCCTAAGCGATCACCCATCTAGGTATTGACCAGATTCGATGTTGCTTAACTTCGGTGATCGTACGGGAAGCAATGTTTCCGTGTGAAGTAAGCGCATTACACCACCTGTACATCCGCGCTTACAGCAACGTGTATTCCAAAGCGATCATCAATGTAGGTACTGACCAGACTTAACTTCAGTGATCGTATTTGAATCGGTGTTTCAACGTGATGTGGCCATAAGCAAGCTTCTCTTCAAGCCTTTAGGCCCAATGGACTTGTAAAGTCTGGGACTTCATTAAGAGTGCAACAGTTCATGGAGACTGAAGAAAACTCCGGGTCTGAACAGTGATTATGGAATGATACTAACTTGATTGCAGGGCGGAGGGCATTGAAAAATACAAGCCTGATTTTTCTCTTTTGAGCTATTAATGTTAGTTGAGAGGAGAGATCAACTGCAAAGAGAGATCAACTGCGTCTTGAGAGTATTCGGAATTACGTTCGTAAATAGCGGTATCATCGTCATAGATGTTTACGTATGATCTGGGAATAGGCAGAACGTTAATAAAAAGCTAGAGAGGACCGACGAGGTAGCGTTGTGGAGGGATGCATTGATCTGTCTTTTTATTTTTTAATCTTTTCACCCCAATCATGGTAATACAGAAACAGCGGGTTACTGCGTGTTTAATAGAGTTTAACATTTTTGTTGTCAGTTCTCAAGAAAACACTTATTATAAATCCAGATGCCTGCAAACTATTCTAGTGAATTTTTGTGGTGAGTGCAAATGAAAGAAATGATCAGAAAATACATTTTTCAAAACTTATAATTATAGTTACTCGTAGTTTTTTTTTTTTTTATAATTTCATCCTAAGCAAGGTAATAAAGTGTTGTGGTGTCCTCCCACTTAAGAGTTTATGTTAGACACTTCCGCCTACTATAAGTTTAGTAGGAGAGAAGGTTCGGAGAACAGTGTTAAACTGTTCATTACTGTCAAACTCGAATGAGGCTTTGCCGAAGGGCAAAGTTTCGTCCGCGGAGGTAAACAGGTTCTGAGCCCGTTTATGCGGGTTCTAAGGGAATATTTTTGGCCGAGCCTACGGGCTCGGAGAACTCACGGTAAACTCGGCCTTGTGCCATATACACCATCTTGGGGGGGGGCTGTTAAATAAAACAAGGAACACTTGAATAGATTGAGCGCTGGTTCATTCGATACACTCTCACTAGTCGTGTCATAATCATCTGGTGTACTTACTGTTTAATATAAGATATATCTGCAAACATGGTTTTTGTTATTATTTAACCATTTACTTGGTCACGGCATCTTAATCCATTGACTGATCAATGTTCCCCGAACCTTCTCTCCTACTAAACTTATAGTAGGCGGAAGAGTCTAACATACACTCTACAGAGGAAGGACACCACAACATAAAGCCACTAAGATGCAGAGGGTTACCGTGTGTTAAACAATATATATATATATATATATATAAAACATTATTACAGAGCGAGAAGAATAAAACGACAGGAATTAAGAAGACAAAAGATAGCGATTGAAATTTCATTTAAATTTTTGAAGATCAAACTTGACTGGAAAGCAAGAAGCCGGAAGAGAGAAATGCTAGAATGAAACTGTTAGCATAGAACTTCCGGTTACATGTAGCAATTTCATCTGTAAGATGATGAGACATTGCCTCCAATTCAACAGTGCGCTTAAATTCATGAAGTCTAGGTACTGTAGAGGAATGTAATATTTATTTTGAAAATACAAAAGTGTGGGACAAGTTCAAAATCGGGGATAGGGGAAGTCTGGTCTCATCTTAAACTTATCTAGCCACGATTACTGACCCAAACATACGACAGTATTCCTTACATCCTTACATCAAAACAATATATTCTTACTTATCATTCTTACTACAGCCACCATAATACCTCGGAGTCTCTACGAAGTTCTAACTATTTCCCATATGTTCAATATGTCTGTGAGGGTGCAGAATAAAAGCAAAACCTTAGAGGAAAGTAATATTTATTTTGAAAAATCCAAAAATGTGGCACAAAGCCAAAAGGAAGGCGGGTCTTCAATCTGTCTTATCTTAAACTTAGCTAGCCACATTTCATCTATGTGCCATGTGTGATACACGCTTAGGTGATCATGTATCTTTCGATACATGACTGACGAGGCAGATTTTTTCGGCAGTAGTTTGCCATTTTTTTTCTGCGGTAGACCAGTTGCCATCCAAGGTTATAGAACCCAGTCTGTCCTGCTATTTACCCATCGCTGGGAGAGAAGAAGAGGATTCATACCTTTCCCAGGGGTATTAGCACGTAAGTGAATGTAATTAATTCGACTGGAATTCGAACTCGGATCTCCGATTCCTCAATCCGAGTCGCTATCTAGTACTCGATCGTCCACAATTATTGGCTCACACTATATCTGTGTATTCCTTACACCAAAAACAACACATTCTTACTTACCTTTCTTACTACAGTCACCGTAATACCTTACAGTCTCTATTAAGTCCTAACTAGTTCTCATATGCACAATTTGTCTTGTGGGGTGGGGATAAAAATACAACCGTAGAGGAAAGTTCATCAGAACAATTACCATGCAAAGGCATAGGAAAGCTACATTAGGGTGGTGGGGGTAGTGACTGAAGCCGATTTGAGAAGGCTCGTCATTCACGACAACCTTCACAGATTTACCTGAGAAAAAAGACTTGATGATTCCGTCAACTCCAAATACGTTGCTGGAGCGTTTGTGTATCAAGGAAGCCTATGCCACACTTTCTTAAGAGGCGATATGATTTACAAGTTTAGAAAACCGGTGATACAGTAGGTGTTCCACTCTTTTCACTCAAAATAAATGTACTTTCACCAGAAAACACTATTTTAATCAATATTGCATTTACCCTTTATTTCCAAAGATTTTTTTTTACCAGTGTCTTCAAGTAAAAGACAATAAAACAAAACATACTGCATTTTATTTTTTTGTTGAAGACAATCTTTTTTAAGGCATTATAAAAAGTAATATATTTTTTTATCGAACAATGTTTTTGGTTTGTAAGTGTTTTTTTTAAATTTCAATAATAATAATAATAATAATAATAAAAATTATACTATTATTATTATTATTATTATTGTGCTGGGTTAAATTTCGTTTTGTCTTCCTTAGGCGTCCAAAAGATCCACATGGTCGACATCTCGTCCGAAACGACCTCCACCAATACCATAGTCATCTGTATAGCCGTAATCTTTTCGCTTTCCAAATCGGCCCCCTCCGAGTCCATAATCATAGTACCAGGCCCCTCTACGTTTGCTGGCATCGTCGTCCCTGCCGGCTAGATCCAAGTCCCTCTTCTTCTGTGCAGATAGCCCCGATCTCTTTTTGTGAAAGGCAGAGCTGATAAAGTGCCGGGCGCTCGCGGTCAACACTTGATTAGTCGCCTCGTCGTCGTCGCTCCGCTTTCGTAGTGCGTTCATCAACTGCTGTTTGTATTTGTTTAGTGAGTGCGCCATGTCCGACTCGACGTACGGCGAGGGCGCTGCGGTCGTTAAGTGGGTTACAATAATGGCGAGCAATGCAAAACTCATTCCAATTTCCACAAAATGGTGATTCATACTTCTGCAAGAAGAAAAAATGGAAATCAACATTACTTTTTGCTCGGTATAAAATGAAAATATAGGGTGTGGCATAAATACAGTTAAAAAAGACAAACCTCATAAGAGGTGAAAATTTTAATTATATCAGCATACACTTTTAACACAAAGTAAGTATTAATCTAATCTCTCTATATAAAACAGAGGATGTCTGTCTGTCTGTCTGTGTGATACCTTTTCATTTGCGATCCATCCAACCAATTTTGACCAAACTTGGCACATACATTGTACAGTGTAAGAGATACGGCCTTAGCGTAAAAACTCGATAATTTTTAAAAATCAAAAAATCGATAAAGCCGATCAAAAACCGATAAATTCAACTTTTTTCCTCCGATTTCGTTCAAACTCGGTATGTAGGTTACTTACATCATGACGAGCTCAACGATACCTCATTTGTATTTATACGCCTCTGCGTTTAGCGAAAAACCGCGAAAAACGAAAAATTGATTTTAACACAAATCGATTTCAACACATCGATTTCAACATAAATCGATTTCAACATAAATTTTAAACTAAAGCTCCCTCAATTTTCAAGCAATCTAATACAAACTTCACTTAATTGTAGCCAACAATAAATTGATTATTTAACAGTCGTTTAACTAAATAACTGAGTCCACCCATATAGGGAAAACCCGTGTAAATAGCGAAAAAATAGCGATTTTTACTGGTTTCTTTCTTATTTTTCGTTGATCTTTCAACCAATCTTTATCAAACTTAACAATTGCTTTATAAATATATCCTCTTTTACAGCCCTGGTAGCACTCTGACAAATTGAATTTCAAAAACTCCAAAATAATTGTTGTTTGAAGTGGGTCTTCATGTTGCCTGTTTTACCCCTTCATGTCAGCTAACTTTGAATAAATACAGACTCCTTCTTAACTGCATTAATTTAAAATGTTTTTTTTTAATGAAAGTACTTTAAAGTAATTGAAGAAGATAGACTCTGTTACATCTAAACCTGATGCTGTTTTTGCTCCATTTTAATTGAACACTTTTTCTGATCGACCAGCTGGGTATGGCTGCTAGTTCAATATATCTCTATTTAGCCTTCACCATACGTCGAAGTCTTTCGGGAAAGTCATTGATGGTGGCACGCACAGTTTTCATCGGTATTTTGTACCACACCCTCTTCAATTTTGCCTTCAGAGATTCAATATTATGCTGCGGAGGGATCACTCTCAAGAACTGTCCACAAACAATAGTCAAAAACGTTGATATCTGGTGATGTGTAAAGACATTCATCCTTGGTGATGAAGGTAGGTGATGAAGCCACGGGCAGTATAGCTTGTTGTTCAGTCTTGTTGAAGAGTTCAATGTTCATCACCTTAAGTGGCATTATACCACGGCTTCAGTACACCTTCCAAGATGTCTTTTAATATGCACTTCCTTGTCGAAGCACGAAAACAAGAGGAGACTTCTCTCTTTCAGAAATGGCTGCCCAAACCATAACTGATGGTGTTTCTGGGTATTTTTCCTGAAGTGGCAGAAAATGACTGACGGCTTGTTGAAAGGACAAGACCATTTTCACGATTAAAAGTCATGAATCCGCTTCAGCAACTGCTTGTTTCTCTGAAGCTTCTTTATTGTGTCTGCTGAAAGAGGCTGTCTCTTGGTTATCTTGTTGAGGCGATATCACGAGATCATTTCGAAATAGTCTTCATGTTCTGGCCTCCTAAGCCAATTTATTCATTGACCTTCTTGGATTACGCCTGATATCTTCACGTACCTCTTTAATGAGTTTTGCCGTTCTTGGGTCGTCTTGGACTCGGTCTATCTTTGATGGAGAAAGTCTCGATGTATCGATCGACTGTCTTTTTGATAAGCATTCTATTGATTCCAAGTTGTTTTACAGATTTAAAAATCTCAGTCAATTCTCATGTTATTCGATTATATTTTGGAACTGCGCAGCCATTGCTGTTAATAACTGTTTTTGTGACTTCTGAAACTGTTCATGCTGTAGTAAAAATCTCCGTAAGCATCTCTGGGGAAATCATTGATTTTGAAATTTCAGTCCTCGTCGCCAAAATTTTTTTGTCTTCCAGGTTTTGGGATAAAAAAAAAAACGAACGAAAATAAAAGACAGGTGTTTGGTTTGGTTTGTTTTATGGCATATCAACCTCAATGGATTACTTAATGCCGACAAAATTATTAACTCATTACATGCAGGCGCAATGGAGTAGTGGTTAGCAGCTCTGATTGACAAATTGGAGAGTCGAGTTCGAATTCCATTACGGTCACTTACGTGCTAATACTCTTCTTTTAGATATGGGTAAATAGTAGAACAGAATGGGTTCTATAGCCTTGGATAGCAACCGGTCAAGTAACTCTGAATTCAAAACCGGTTTGGAGAGGGTTGGGCTCCGTCAGTCTATCTTGCCAAGAAACACTACTGCGGCTGCAGTACATGCTTTGTCCCTTGGACCCTGATGTGTCACGGGATTCGCGATCGCTGCATTAAGTGGCCTTGGTTCATTGTACTGTTATTTTTATACAGGGTCCCGTATAAATTCTGTTACAAAATTTCAAATGAATTCTACTGCTAAATCTTTGCTCATTACGTTGGGTTACTTAATGCCGACAAAAGTTTCATTGTTGGTAATATTTTTTTCCAAAAATCTATATCTTGTAATATTTTTTCCTTCAAAAATTCTATTTCTGATATTTTTCTTCCGCTGGTAATATTTTTTTCAAAAAATGTATAGCTGGTAATATTTGTTTCTTTTTTACAAAAATGTATTACAGGTAATTTTTGTTTTTCAAAAATGTATTGCTGGTAATAATTTTTTTACGAAGTATTTCTAGTATTAAAACCTATTTTTACACTTTCATAGTATTTTGACCCCAGTTTGGGTGTTAACTATTTGCCCATAGCTAGGATCCTAACAGGTGCTACCAGGGTGGACCTGGGAACACCTAAAATTAAGAGGTGGTTCCACGATCCTCAAAACTTCCTGATCAGAGGCCTTGCTGTTGGATGTAGTTATCGTCATATATTGGATATCGTCATACCCAGGACGGGAAGACAAGTGTATTTTAACACATAATAGAATAACTTTTATTCATTTACTGCCTGAGAACAGCAAGGATTTGTTTGGATTTAAACTACGAGTTCCATGTCAGCTTGTCACCATGTTGAACGCAATGCTGATCTCCCAGACAAGGAAAGTAATTCAATTGTATTATTATCCGTTATAGGGGGAAGTAACTTAGCGATAACGCCCACCAGTGAGTGATATCAAATGTTGTGTGTGAGATGAGCAACTGAACAGAAAATGGTGGACGATTGGAAATTTTGGTGCGTGATATAGGATTTTGAGTAATAGAAAGGTATTTCAACATATGATACCCGAAAAAATATTCCAAGGAGATATTTAAAGAACATGTATAAATAAAAGAAAAACTACAACAAATTAACAGAAAGCTAAATTTAAATAACTGGATCACATTCCTAGATAAGATATAAATGTCCCCCGAAAACGATAAATATTTTGGCATTTTCAATAGTTTTGAGAAGGATCATTAGCATTCAAAATAATTCTTGCAGCGGTGAAACCTAACCATAAAACTAACCCTGACCATAAGACTAAATTATATATATATATATATATATATATATAAATATATATATATATATATATATATATATATATATATACTTTTGAATGGTCAAATTTGATGTTTTTTGATCTTTACTGTAGTAGAAGTCGCAGTAGCAGCCGAATAAGTCAGCATTGTTTGTTACCTTTTGGTATTCTTTACTACATCATAAAGTTTATAAACCAGTTTATGAAAAGTTGTACTGTTATATCCCAGGTTGCTAGGATGAACAAAAATGAATGAAAATAAAAGACAATTGTATTTTAACATATAATATAACTTTTGCTCATTTACTGCCAGAGAAAACCAAGGATGTGTTTGGATTTAAACGACGAGTTCCACGTGCCTGTCAGCTTGTCACCATATTGAATTCAGAAGTGCCGCGTTAATTTCCCAGACAAGGGAAGTAACTCAATTGTATTTTGAGTTATTGTCCTTTATAGGAGAAGTAAGTTAGCATCCCCTAACACTTTTAATTTCTATAGAACATTGTTACCAGTAAATATTAAAAACACTTTGAAAAAACAAATAGTATACGTTGTTGAGCGAGTATTAAACTATAAACAACAATGTAATGAGCAAAGATTTTATAAGTAGAATTCATTTGAAATTTTGTAACAGCATTTACACCGCATTTATTTATGTACAAAAATAGCAGTACAATGATCAAAGGCCACTCAGTGCAACGATCGCGAATCTCATGACCCATCAGGATCCTAGGGATAAAAGCATGTACTGCAGATGCAGTAGTGTTTCTTGGCAAGATAGACTGACGGAGCCCAACCCTCTCTAGACCGGTTTTGATTTCAGAGTTACCTGACCGGTAATAAGCTATAGAACCCAGTCTGTTCTGCTATTCACCCATAGCTTGGGAGTGGGGGAGAGAAGAAAAATATTAGCGCGTAAGTGAACTTAATGGAATTCGAACTCGGCTCTCCGATTCCTCAATCCGAGCTGCTATCCATTACGCCATCACGCCTGCATTCAGGGAGTCAATAAGTGAAATAGCTTTAAGAAAGGAGTAAATAAGAAATGTGTATATTAGGATATGTAGAATGAGGGGGACGTTCAGGCGTAGCCCATTTGGCATCGTTGATTCGACGTGACCGATTCAGCGTGGCCGATTCAGCGTGGCCGATTCAGCGTGGTCGATTCAGCGTGGCCGATTATGAGTGGCCGATTCGGCCTGGCCAATTCAGCGTGACCGATTATGCGTGACCGATTCGGCGTGACGGATTCGGCGTGGCCGAGTGGTTGGAGACATTTTTATATTTAAAGAAAAAGGAGAAGTTGGACGACTGAATAGGCGTCGGAATGCGAGGATGAGCCCTATTTTTGATCCCGAGATATGGAATCTTTATGAACGAACTCTAAATAATGAAGATCGCCGAAGCTGC